ATCTAACTACAGTGTACAGTATCTAACTACAGTGTACAGTATCTAACTACAGTGTACAGTATCTAACTACAGTGTACAGTATCTAACTACAGTACAAATTGCAATTCACAGGACGACGTTGTCTCTTCTGTCTTCTAGTAATTGAAGCAATTCTAAACCTTCCATCTTTTTCTCTTTTCTCTTCACAAAACCTTCTAAACTGTAAAAATAACCCTCTCGGGAAATTAATAGCCCTTTTTCAATTCCCCATGTCCTCTTTTTTTCCTATAATATATTTTGTAATGATCCAGTGTAGGTTTATTATGTTTAGTGTGTAAACACTAGTCTACACGTTGCAATAAACTAATCTAGTAAACTAACATAGAGTTGTAAACCTATATTTCATATATTAATCTTTTAATTAAAACAAAGCTCATTCAGATTTTCTTTTTATAGTATAGCTTCAATCATTTTTATTTATTTTCGTTAAAATCTGGATCCAATAAGATTAGAGAGGGCCAACAAATTATGAAATTCAATTAATATTTACAATTTTTTAATTTGAGTTGGCGATAATTGTATTTTACTGTTTAGGGAATACTGCTTTTTATCCACTACTATACACTGTTCAAGTTATCTAGAGACTATTTAGTGCTCTCCAAGGTGTATCAGGTTGATAGCGTTTATTTACATGTATATTATTATCACAAATTTAGTTGTAATTTCTAAAAATCAGAGGTGAAAAATTTTATGGGAGCTGTAGCGCTAATCTACAAACTTAATCCCGAATTCCAGGGATTAGCGTTGATCCCTCAATTTTAGCTATACAAAACGAAGAGGATTTAATTTAATTTTGGACTGTTTAATGTCTTTTAAATCCTTTTTAAGTCCGGAACTACGACTTGGAGCCTTTTTTAGTTGTTTGCAAATGTTATATTTTTCAGCCTTAAATTCATGGTTTTATTAGGCTATACGCTTGTTTTGCTACTTCATCAGTGTTATATTTGAATTTTATGCCATTGTCTAAATCAAAGCTGCAAATGGGGATAATTAAAGGTTGCTCTAAAAAAACGTTACCAGATTATTAACGTGGAAGATATCGTCGTTTTACCAGCTTGTAAAGATTTATTTAAGAAATATTATTGAATGGATTTTATTACTTGCAGGCGGAGCAGGTTCTACAGGGGAGATAATCCTATTCCAACTCATATTCTGGATCCTAGCTCTATACAGACACCTCTATATCCTGATCCTACTTGTAAACTTAGTCCTCCCATCATCTGTTTTAAGTGTTCAATGTCTCCAAGGATATTATATGTAAGGAGAGAGAAAAGGGAACTCTCTACTCTACGTGATGTACTAGGAGAGAGTAGGAACTAGATTTATACATTTGTCACAAACAAACTTTCCCCCTCTCCATACTTCTAATTGTTCTAATTGTGTCTGACTATTCACTCTGTATTAAACATTACAAATTTTATTTGTTTATTTTGTGCATTCTGGAACTGGAGACCGTAAACGGTTTCATGTACTGTACAACGAGATACTATGAAGGATCCGGAAGTATCTAAGTCGCAAATATTTGTCAACATTGTACAGCTGTTTGTTAAACAATAAAGTAAACCAAGTCATGATATTAATTCTAATTTTTCCAACCGAGGAATTGGATAAATAACAGAAGAGCCGTCAGAATTTGACAAGAAACCTTGAGAATTTATAGTAGCTTGTCAGATTTTATTCAGTTATGTATAAAATGTACGCTGTAACGTTCTGCTCAGTGTGTAAAGAATACTGCAACATAAAAATAGACTAGTTATGATTCCAATTTCTTTGATGTTCACTAATATGAAATAAGTTATCTGATAATATCATCTGTATTATATTAGACTAAAGATGAGAAAGTTTCTTGGTGTGCTGGTTACTACAGGGAAATATTTCTAGAATAAATCATCTTAAGTGGAACATATTTAGGATTTATTCTTCCTAGATCATCTGAAAGTGGAACATATCTAGAATATAAATTCTTTAGATCATCTTTACCGGAACATATCTATTATGTATATTCTCTAGATCATCTATATTAGAACATATCTAGGATATATATTCTCAATTCGTCTATAGGGTATTTATTTAGGATATATATTCTCTAGATCATCTATATTAGAACATATCTAGGATATTTATTCTGAATTCGTCTATAGTGGAATGTATTTAGGATATATATTCTCTAGATCATCTATATTAGAACATATCTAGGATATATATTCTCAATTCGTCTATAGTGGAATATATTTAGGATATATATTCTCTAGATCATCTATATGTTCGCGGAAGGTCTTGGGTGTTATATCTGTCTGAGAAACCAGAAGACTCTCCTCATCCAGCCTAAACAAATTGTTAGTTAAAAGCAGCTTAAAATCTGGAAGCTGCAAAAGTTTACAAGCAGCTTTAAGTTTAATCTGCACTGAAAGTTTAAAAGCATCTAGTAGTTCAGAAGCTGCTTGAGATTTACACGGGATTTAAGTAGAAAAGCAATATGAAAGATAAAGAAGCTTAATATTTAATTTTTTAGACGCATATAATTCTACTCCAAAGATCGAATCAGATTTTCATTTCTCTTTCCTGACTAAAATTCTCTCGCATCCTTAAACCTTCCCACCTTAAGCATGTACCTGGAGAAAGGCTCTTAAATAAGGTTGGTTACTGTCGATGCGCTCCAATGAACGGAAAATGTGGTCGCCTAAGATAGTTAGATAAAAACCTCATATAACCTCACTGTCGCCTCTATAACATGTGACGTCATATGTGGTTTTTATCTATATCTTAGGAGACGACATGAGCCTTTCACCAGGTACATACTTCAGGTGGGAGAGAATTTTTGCCAGGTAAGAGCAATGAAAATATGATTCGATCTTTGGAGTAGAATTATATTCAAATCTGAGCTTTCCTCTGTCAGAACATTATCTACAACTCTGAGCTGTGACAATAATTGCCTCGAAACCTGGGTTTACAGTGTCATACTTGACTAAACGGTTTTACTCTGATAAAATCTCATCAAATTGTAAAGTTCCAAGAAATAGGTTTATGCGTTAATATTGTAAAAATAAGTTTGTTTAAGATCAAAGGAAAATTGAGAGAACTTTGCCACAAGAATTTTACAGAAACAATATTACACTTTGCTGGCAAATTTGTAATATGATGGGATTAAGTTTAGCTGTAAGTGTAACTTGTTCCAAGTTATTTCTTGAGCTCGAGATTTAGTTTGTAAATAGTGTTTATCTTTCTTTTATCTACATCACTCACTAGTTCATATACTGTTAAGTGAATATCCATGTTAATTTCATTCTACACTTTATAACAACTTTATTCTTACTCAACACCACAACCAACTATAAACTTTTAATAGAAAATATTTTTTTATTTTTACGTGAATCAAGATCTTATTCCTTTCTAGTACCCTGTACCTTCCTTCCGGGGTGTATAAATTTAAGAATAAATCATACCCCCCCTCCCCGAGGGGTAAGAGAAATGATTTTTGACTTTTTCAGTCCGTATCTAGTTAGTCGTTCAGGCTTTGGACTTTCATTTTTTACTACAATATGTCTTTTGACTGTTCATGAAACGTTACAAAATTGGAGGATCATAGTGTTATAAACATTTCAAAAAATATTGCAAAAAAAAACCAGAAGAAGCATATTAAAGTCTTAAAACAAAATTTACATTTGATTTTAGACCTGTAAATGCACTTGATTTCTGAGATATCTTTAAAATGGATTTGCGGAAAAATCCCCAGGTGGCATTTTCTGAAAATTGAGGTTATAATTAAGTAATAGACTGCATATTAACATCTCCTGAAGAAAAAGTATAGGTGTTTTGACTTAAAACCTGATGGTCCATTTACAGTAGTGTGAGTAATAATAGTTTTCGAATTCCAACAGAGGGGGCGGTCGCCCCCCTGTAGGAACACAGAGGAGCGTGCGTCCCAACGCCGCCCCCATCAGCTCAGGCCCTGTTTTGGATATAAAAATTCTTAAATTTTGTAAATTCCTCAAGCGGTGATCGGCAGTATTCCTCATACGGAACTATGACACTGTTAATTCTTAGGAACTACCTAAATATATGATCCTCTGGTATGCTGAGAGCTTTGTATGCCATTATATCTGAATCTCTGTTCCCGTAAGCTGCGAACAATGGATTCCCAGAGAAAACTCCTCGAACTCTTGCCAGCTTACTGATCTTCTGCACCTCAGGGTTTCCATCTATTATCTAGATATATATTATATACCAGAAATTCAAGGCGCTTCGCGCCCTTCTTTCTAGCCTTAGAGGGCGCTTCGCGCCCATCTTCTAAATTAGTTGTGAACATGTTCTCTTTGTGTACATCGTAAAACAAAACAAAAATAATTCGCGGATTTTCACAAAAAATTTCGCGGATTTTCAAAATTTTTAAAAATTTAATGACGATCGAATTTTGATGGAGACAAATATTTGAAATTTTGATGATTCATAAACCTTCCCTGGGGTCCCTAGATGTCCCACCAAAAATTTGGGCCCGTTCGGTTCAGCCGTTTTGACGTTTATTGGATACAAACAAACAAACAAACAGACAAACAGACAGACAGACAAGCCAAATCTATATATAAATTTGGCTTGTCTGTTTTGGTGTCTGTCTGTTTGTTTGTTTGTTTGTTTGTATCCAATAAACGTCAAAACGGCTGAACCGATCGGGCCCAAATTTTTTGTGGGACATCTAGGGACTCCAGGGAAGGTTTATGAATCATCAAAATTTCATAGATTGCTCCATCAAAATTCGATCGTCATTAAATTTTTAAAAATTTTGAAAATCCGCGAAATTTTTTGTGAAAATCCGCGAATTATTTTTGTTTTGTTTTACGATGTACACAAAGAGAACATGTTCACAATTAATTTAGGAGATGGGCGCGAAGCGCCTTGAATTTCTAGTATTATATATATTTTTATAAAGATGCATGGTGTCCCAAGAAACATGACACTAGCAAGACGACTTGAAGTAAAATCTAGTGATAATAATTACAAAAAAGTTCTGGCATTTTAAAAATGTGGTCTGCCTTTTTTTCTGTTTTTAATATTATACGAGATAAAAACAATATCGTTTAGATTTCGACAATTTTGGTTTTATTTAATATTGAAATCTGAACAAATGTAATATTGACAGTACAAAAAATACAGACCACATTTTGAAAAAGCTGGGACTAGGAAAAGTTTGTGGTTATTAGTTTAATAATCATACATGTTAAAGTACAGGTTAAACCACAAAGGATGAGACTTCAGAGACGACTATACGGAGTTTATACTGTCCATTTCCTTATATTTAGGATGATCTGCCTTGAAAAACAATATTCAAGGCAGAGGCAGAAGACTTAGTATAACTTTGGAATTTTATGAGTATCAGATAGTTCTCATAGACTTATTCTTTGTGGGTTACCCTGTAGGCTGACGACTGAATGCCACAAATCAAACCAAAGATCAAAGGCGACTTTCAAGCCGTCTTGCATGTTATGTTTTGTGTGACACCCTGTAGATCAAATTATACTGATTCCCCTATTTCTAGGAAAGATTTGAAGGTTTCTAATCACTAAACTGAACTTCTTAAAATACTCTTTTCCCTAAATATATTCTATTTAATAAAGATCTTTACTCATATATATTTGTTCATTACATAGCTTCCCAAACGGCTGGACCAATTTAACATTTTAACAAAAATTTCCCACCAAATAAAAAATTAAGATTTCAGGAAAAGTTGTCCCCAACTGAAAAAATGCCCTTAAAAAAAAGATAAAATTTTTTCCAACACTTTACTCCCAACTGAAAAGAATAGGTATTCTACTTTTTATGGTTGAGTAAAATGCAAATTTTTTTGCCCCCCCCCCCCCCTCCCCCCCCCAGAAATCTAATGTAAAAACCAAACTAAACAATTATACCAAAATTATAAGAAATTTAGCCAAACTAAAGAAGTACAAAAATTATAAGAAATTTAACCTAACTAAACAAGTACCAAAATTATATGAAATTTAACCAAAACTAAACAAGCAAATAATTCTATTTTATAGTTTCCCAAATATTATTTATCTACCTCGGCGGTGAGCGCATTGATAACAGAATCTGTATAGAGCAGGATTGGGCCTAAAATAGAATTAGGATTGAAATACTTTCATTTCATAATGTAGGAGGGTNTAGCTTAAGAAATAAAGGAGGAGGGTATGTTTTGGGAAATTTAACTTGGCGTCAAATTGTATGCAGTAAGTTAATATTTCTATGGCTCTTTCTGAAAAGAATTGAACTTCCAAAGAGCCTGGAGTTCATGGTATTTATATATACACACATTAGGGGGATAGGGTTTGTGCATATTTTACTGCGACATATCTTTTCATCACCAGCTCACCTTAAAAATACACAACTTGCTAAATTCTATATCTAAAGTTAACTCGAAAATCTTCATTCACAAATGTCTTAAAAACATGGAAAATAAGCTGTATAATCAGTTCAAACAATTTAAAAACCTCGGAAATGTCTGGTCTCTGGATTTCCAAAATGTGTTCTATGATTTTTGTCCCTTTAAAGTCAAACTGGATGAAGATATGAAGAAAATCGTTCCACTATGAATCTATTAGATAAATCATAAAAGAGACCACATTTTGAAATCTCATGAGATGCACATTGGGGTTTTCAGGGTTTTTGGACTTTTTTATTAAAAAATATGGCAAATTTTTGCGGTGAAAGAAAAAACTTGCGAAAATCTAACCAAAAAAATAGTTTTTTGTTAGTTTTAATTTTATAATTTTCTCTTAGGAAAAAAATATTTTAAAGTTTAATAAAAGCAGAAACAGCTCTGAAATGTTGGAAGTTTTATAAAAAGTTTTCAAAAAACAAAACCAAAATGATTACCCACTCTAGACGCACCTTTTATGAAAAACTCTTTATTAGTTATTAGAAATTCATGAAAATCATGGACGAGATCGTACAACTATATTTAGTTACAACCGGTGATCTATATGTAATATGTATTTTCATTTTACTCATATATCCTGTTACAAAAAGTGTTAATAATTCATTTATTCTAAATAGTAAATCTTGACTCATATCACTTTAATTACCATTTAATATGTAAAAGTTTATATTTAGTATTCCTGAAAAGCAGTTAAAGAGAGTACCCGGTAATGTATGGAAGTTGAACTGAATATGTTGCATTGTAGAGAATTTTTTTAGGATTTATTTGAGACAAATAAAACATTTTAATGATGTATAATTACTGAATTTGAGCGCAAAGCCGGCTTTTAAAATAATCCATACGGATGGTTACGTTTTGAGGATCGATTTTTTTTTATTTATTAAACAACGTCGACAAAAAATGTTTCAAAAATTCTGTAGGAAATTAATTAATTGTGCAGAAATATGTCTCAATAGAAATTTGTCAATTAATTAGTTTACTGTAGAATTTGAGTTACATTTTTTGTCGTTGGTATTTAATAATTTTTAAAAATTGATTCTTAGAACAGATGATTTTGAACGTCAGCTTTATGCTTAAACTCAGCAATTATACACCATTAAAATTTCTACAATACTACATTCTCAGTACAACTACCATACATTGCTGGTCGCTCCCTTCAAATAAAAGTTCCAATATATTAATTTCTTAGTGCATTTTCTATAGATACTAGGCGTCCAGAGCTGAAAACTTTACAATGAGGTATCCTTAATCCCGATTACTTAATCTGAATATCCAATGGACACACTTTTGATTTTCTTCTTAAACCGTTCTTTCTTGGATATAGTAGAGAAAAATCAAAAGCCGGTTTTTAAAATTAATCCCGCTTCTGTATATAAATCTTAAATGGCGCGCAAAATTTCAAATTTATCGGCTCTGATTGGTTGAATTTTATACACTTTTCAGGATAAAAGTACAAGATTAGGTTAGTCTCAATATTAAGAAAAAGAGATAATCAAGCATTAATCTCGATATCCACCATTCTATAGTTTTCACCTAAGGACGCCAATCTTAGATGTAAACTTTTAATTGTTGCTCTGTGGCATTAATTTTAAATCATCTAACACTTCTTCGCGGATTTTCGATTTTTTAAGGTGATTTTGAAAAAGCAACATTTTTTAAGGCAAATTTATTTTGAATTCTGGCCATCCCTAAACCTTCCTTAGTGTGATGTGAGGCCCCCACAAAAACATGGGCAAGATCGGTTTAGGTGCGCAACTACGGGGGGGGCAATGGGAGCAAGCCCTAGCCTGATTAAGCCCCACTCTCAAGAAAACTTGCCCCCTAGGGGCAAGAAGTCCTTGACTGAGGTCTATATAGTTCCAAGCATAGTTAATTTTCTCATAAATAAAAAAAATTTATTTCCACGGGCAACGCCGGGCCCTTCAGCTTATTTGTTATAAAAACATACACTCGTTTATGCCCCCAACTCTTAAAGCAAACTCAAACTCTACTAGAACATTTTTTAATATAAGCTCAGATTCTTTTTATTTTTGCTCCCTTTCTTTAAAAAATGCCCCCAAATTCGATTTTTAAAATTACACTCACACATTCTTATTCAAATTTCCCCACCAGACTTAAATTTAATCGCTTTTTTCAACATTTTTAACCCTTAGTGTTTTAGAATTCTACCAAATATTTTTAATTTTTACCTAAATAAAAATATTACCCCCAAGAAGAAATTCTGTGTCTAAACATTCTTAATGTATAATCCAAAGAATATAGATTTAAGATTTTTGCAACACAAATTTTCCCCAGGCTGAAAAGAATGCCCTCAAATAAAAAATTTGCCCCAAAATATTCTGAATTGGTAAGGGAGTTTTTCATGGTTGAGTATAATACACATTTTTCCTTTATTTATTTGCCCTTTGCCCCCCCCCCCCCGCAACCTAATGTCGTAGACCTCAGATATTTCAACTATGAATTCTGTGGATAAAATAATCTAAGTTTGAAATATAAAAGTTTTACACCTTTAGGAATTAAACAACTTGAGTTAGTGGTAAAGACTCAATTCCTTTAGCCAATTATTGCCCCATTTAAACTCAATTGACCTACACAGAGGGGACGAGGGCCAGCAACAACAATTTCTCGTCCGAGCCACATTTTCTCGTCTGAGCCACCTCGGAATCCTCGTCCTTAGATTATTACGAGTTTTAAAGTTTTCAATTCTCGAAGATATATGGCCACGTTAGGGCATAAAATATGGATGGACTTAAGTAATATGCAATGATTACATCATGTTGGAATCTTTAAACCCATGAGAATTATGTCAAACTTTATTTAGATAAAACTTAAATCTCTTCTGCCTCTGTAATGGCTAACCTTCACTTTATAAAATAAATAGCAAAACATTTGTTATAATATCTCGATGGTTATACCTCTGCCTATCATTTTCCCCATGGAATCACACGGAAAAATTCTAAGGTTTTCACTAACAAAAAAGATTAAGTTTTATAAACTTGGAATTATTTGCGGCATTCTAAGCCAGGAATATCTGAAAATGCACGTAAAAAAGTGAACATTTTAAGGACATTAAACTTGAAAACTTTAATTCAGTTGAAACTTTTTTTTTGATTGACAAAAAATTCAACATTTCATTTATGCCCTAACGTGACCCGATTCTTAAAAAATAGTTTTATCTGGGAGGATTGAAAAAAATATTATTGAAAGGACGAGGATTTCGAGGTGGCTCGGACGAGAAAATGAGGAGAATGTGGCTCTGACGAGAAATTGTTGTGGTTGGCCTTCCTCCTCTCCTACACACGTGACGGTACAACTCCTTTTCAGTTCCGCCAACTCACCCTTTAAAAAAAGGTCAAATGAACAGTTTCAGTGGATAAAGCGCATTTGCGCGACATGTTGCCGCTAAACACTAAATTATTTCTCTTTTATGTTCTGTTGAACTCTAGAACCTCATCTATATGTCACTTTCGCTGGATCTAGGGAGCAAAAGTATTGGACCCTTGGGAATTCTTTTCTATGTAATATAAAGTAATTTTCTTCCTGCAGGCCCTCCCCCCTCCCTCCCTTTCTGCCCTTGAACTAAGATTGTACTTAAACCTGAAGGCATTGTGTACTCCTCTTCTCTGTATCAAATATTCTTGTTATTATTAAAAAAGGAAAGAATTCGTTTTTAAAATACATATTCCAATGAGAATCAAACTTAAGCTTGGTAATAAAAAATGTTATAGTTGGAAATTGATCTTGATGGCACAAGAGCAAAAGGTGAATTACAGCCGAAGCTATCTTTTCATTAAAAAATGTTAAACTCAGGATATGTTACTTTAAAAAGGATTTTTGACTTTTTCCTGTTATGTCTTGTTTTGTCCTGTTTTGTCTTATTTGTCTTGTTTTGTCTTGTTTTGTCTTGTTTTGTCTTGTTTTGTCTTGTTTTGTTTTGTCTTGTTTTGTCTTGTTTTGTCCTGTTTTGTCTTGTTTTGTCTTGTTTTGTCCTGTTTTGTCTTGTTTTGTCTTGTTTTGTCTTGTTTTGTCTTGTTTTGTGAGAGAAGTGAACTTCTGAATATAAATTTGTATCTTCTCTACATAAATATTTTCAAAACAGAAACTTCGAATAGACTAAATATAAATCCTTGTTGAAACTGGACCAACTGGACACCTGCATTATTCAGAATCATCGAGCATATTTTTTATCTTGAGCTTTTTCTAAAAGACCAATCTTTATAAAAAACTTTGACAAAGCCATTCTCAATTTTGAGTTTTTCGAGGTTTGTTAATTTAATTACGATATATATATTAAAAATTATCAAATCTTCATGCGTTAAAGAAAATTTTAAACAATTTCAAGTTTATTTTTTCATTTTTTTTATTTTTAAAATTATGGAAATGGAAAAATTATAATTTTAAAGTTTTTGAAAACAATAACGCATCAAAACTATCAATTTAAAGTAAATGTTTCATGAAACGTAGTCTTAAAATCACAAAATAAAATTTGTTGACTTAAAATCAATTATTTCTCAAGATATGCGTAAATAATATTTTTAGAAATGCAAGCTCATATATAAATTCTTTTCCAGACGTCTAAAATAAAAACTTCAGGATAAATGCATAAAATATGCATAATCTATATCATCCTATCCAAATTACTGACAGTTTAATTACTAGACGATATGAATATGTACTTAACTGATAAGTTATAAAAGGGTGATTTTCCAAATGTAAAAAGGATATAGTTTTTTTGTCTATAGTGTTAATTACTAATCTCAACTATTTGTTAAAGATTACATATATATATTTTTTCCACACATTATATAATAATAACAATAATCAGGCCAATAACCTTCCTCGAATCTTATTAAGCCCTAAAAAATATTGGCCAAGTCGTTTTTACGGCTGTTTTCAACACAGAAATAACTTAACAGGATTATTTTATATTGTGCCATTGATTTATGCTTACCACCCTAGAGAGTAAACTTTCTTTGACTATAATGAAGGGGTTTTAAGGGGGGGGTTGTATTTATATTTAGTATAAAATTTAAAAAATAAATAGTTTGTTTCATGAATGTAAACTATTAAACATGAGTAGGGAGTTCATTAAGATTAGTTTAAAACCAGAGTGAGTGAATAGTTAAGGCTGTATTGAGAGAGGAAACTCAACCGGAAATTCTTAAAAAGGAATAAAGGCAGCACTCAGATTGTTTACATTGCTCCCAGAAATGGGAAGGGGGTACAGCACAGTGCACAGCCAACCTATTGTAAAGGACCTTAACCATAACAACGTTATTTGTCTAAGGAAATCAAGCGAAAACAGTGTGCATTGGTTTTATCCAAATAAACTGCATATACTAACATATACTAAATCAATTATCTAGCTAAAGATACTTTTGGAAAATTGGGAACTTTGTCATTTTAATTTTATGTTACTCTTTTTTCAAACTCAAAATGTCTAATCCTTATATCTTTGCTACATAATGTCGCAGACCTTTAATATTATAAATAATATAATTAGATATTTAAGGTTTACACAATTAGGTTACAAAGAAATAAGGATTAGAGTTTCTTTGTATATAAATATGAAAATTATAGTACTTGAATATATTGAATATTAGAAGAATATCCCTGAGTGAATGTAGATATTCTCTAGTACTCTCAGACTGTCCTATTCCTCTTGAAGATAAATATATCAGCATATATCCTTCATCTGAGATCTTCCTACGAAATATTTAACTAAAAAAATATTTTATTTTAAATAAGGGGTTCGACGTTATTCACACTCATACAACAAATTACGCTAAATCAGTAAACAATTGTTTCCAGTTAGTTTTCCAAGTCTTTTAATCATTTGTTTAGCACAAGGCTGATTAAAAGGTATATATACACCACAACGTTTTGTGTTGCGAAGCTTAAAAATAAATATATATATTTTCACAGTTGTATCATGTACAAATCTATCTAGACTATCACTTATTCATAAACCATTACAGTTTTTGTGAAATACTTTAAAATGAAATACAATAAAAGCACAAATTTAAGTATTTCTCAAACACTATAATGTTTTGTGAATTGGTGGTAGTCTGTATATTTAGGTTCGTTAAATGATACAACTGTGAAATTATATAAAATTTGTCTTTCTTTACATAAAGCTGCAATAGTTCTGCTCAAGTTTAGGAATTTGTGATATTTAGAAAAACAAAATAAGAAGTATTTATCTCAATAAAATTGTTTATGTACCAATACCATTAAAAACTTGATGAACATGTTGAGATTTGTCGAAAAAAAGGCTTTTGGTGGATGTAAAAGCGAAATATTTTTCATTGAATATCGAATTGCTGGACGTGAGACAGAGTTGGGGAGCCTGTCAGACGTAGCATGAGACTCAGAGACGATTTTGATTGGCTTGAAGTCTGCTAGGAGGCCATTCTGCGAATCAGGAGGCTCCGGAGGTCAGTTTGCGGGGCTAACATATGTTCTGCACCCCCTCCCTCGTACAAAGAGAAAATTGCTCACAGATAAAGCCACAATTCAAAGTTGAAATAGTAGATGGGCGCGAAGCGCCCTAAAAGCCTTGTATATATATATATATGCATAAAAAATTAGTTGAGAGCTCATATATATATATTGTGTTTAATGTTTATATCTTCTTAAAATAAGTCTAGAATATTTTCTCTTGACTGTTAAGGTTATTGCTGAACGCTGTGTTTCATGATTTACATATATTCATGAGAGCTGCGGCTCTGATCGACAAGGGGAATTTTGTATAGGTTCATGTTAAGCAGGGTCTATATAAGTTGGAAAATCGACATGAAATTACCAGTTCAGACCTGTAAAGCTCGACAACTCCTTGATGTTTCCAATCTGATATTCCTAGAGCCGGGAGAATTAAGCCACGGACATCAGACCTAGAATTAACAATCTGATATTTATGAAATGTCTTTTCTGTGAACTGTCCTATTCATGAAATGTCCCAACGCCAACAAAACGTGGTCAACAAGTTTTCATAACAACAGAATTCTTTTATTATTCTTATAACCTGACTACTATTATAACCTCGTTCCTGACTACCCGCCTCAAACAATCTTGTTTTGAACACATTCCCGAAAATGGTCATCATGTTTTTTGATATTTTTTCTTGTATTGACTAAAAAATTAGGAAACGTTTCTTATAGATTTAAAATTAAAGATTTAAACCAATGGTTTGAATATTCCTACTATTCATAAGCTAGCGCGCGCACTCAACTGGGATTAAAAAAATTTGTTCCCAAGCATTTTTAACTAGAAGAGATTTTTTCCCGGACTATTTTTTAATAAAATCATACTGGTGTACTGGTGTACTGGTGTACTGGTATACTGGTATACTGGTATACTGGTGTACTGGTATACTCGTATACTGGTATACTGGTGTACTGGTATACTGGTGTACTGGTGTACTGGTATACTGGTATACAGGTATACTGGTGTACTGGTGTACTGGTGTACTGGTGTACTGGTATACTGGTATACTGATATACTGGTATACTGGTATACTGGTGTACTGGAGTACTTGTGTACTGGTATACTGGTATACTGGTGTACTGGTGTACTGGTGTACTGGTATACTGGTATACTGGTATACTGGTATACTGGTATACTGGTATGCTGGTATACTGGTATACTGGTATACTGGTATAATGGTATACTGTTATACTGGTATACTGTTATACTGGTATACTGGTGTACTGGTATATCTGGTGTACTGGTGTCCTGGTATACTGGTGTACTGGTATACTGGTGTACTGGTATACTGGTGTACTGGTATACTGTTATACTGGTATACTGGTGTACTGGTGTACTGGTCTACTGGTGTACTGGTATACTGGTGTACTGGTATACTGGTATACTGGTATATTGGTGTACTGGTGTACTGGTATACTGGTGTACTGGTATACTGGT